TAATGCCTATTAGGCAAATGATAAATAATAAATACAAACTACAGTTCAGAGTAATTGGTGAGAGTCCAGCTCTTAAACCTTCATCAAAAGCACCTTTTTAATAATTATTTGTGTTAAAAGCTCGAGTGTTCATTTCTAGCCCAAAATAATTTTTTTTTTTTAATATGTTTGGGGAGAGGAAAATGAGGGAGGTGTCTGTGACAGCACTGGATCATCAGTGTGATAAATGGAATTATTTTGGAGAGGAGGAGTGAGCAGAGGTGTCTAATTTGGGGGTTGCTGCTCTGCTCCTGCTCCTTGGGGTTTGCAGGATCCCATCAGTGAATGTGGGTGAATCCTGAAATCCTCCAGCAGCATCCCCGTGACTCACCTGGGCAGCTGGCACCTCTCTTGAGTGGAAAGCCTCAAACAGTGCTGGATTTACATGGAATTTCCAAGGCTCTTTCCATGAGAATGTTGGATTTGAATAGCAAAACTGTAATTTTCGAGTTGCAGCAGACTCCATCCCATCTGTGCTCAACTTCAAACGGGATCCTCAAATTGCAGATGGAAATTGTCTTGCAGGGAGACGGTGTTTTAATTCCACAACTAATAGATGGGGACGTGAAAAAAAAAAAAAAAAAAAGGAATATTCAGGAGGCTTTTTTGGCTGCCGAGTTTCTGGGAGGAGGTAAATACAAGCCTTGGGATAGTGGGATGTCCTGGGCCAGCTCGGGCTAATGGGCTGCCAGCAAACTTCTCACAGCCTCCCTCGGAGCTGTGGGTCTGTTCCAGGCTATTCCTTTTCCCCTTGGGATTTGTGTTTCTTGCTGCTAACGAGCTCAGGGACTGGGAGGTGTCTCCTGGGACAGGGTGGATCTGCTTTGCCTTTGGACTCTGCTTTGCTTTGCAAGCTCTTGTTGGGGGGGAGTGTTTAAAACAAAAATATCAATGGGAAGTAGAACCTGTGTAGCTTTTCCCCAGGTATCCAGGTGTGCTGAAATTTGGGATCTTCCTGAATTGGGACCTTTTTATCCCACCCTTGGCCCAGTTGTGCTGGGAAAACAGAGGAAGCAGGGGAGGAAGCCTTGCCTATATTTGGACCTTGCTGTGTGGGCTAAAGAAACATAAACCAGTCATAAGCAAAGAATTAAAGAGGAACTTGGAGTTGGGGGCATTACAGAGTCTGAAATTTGTGCTTTTAAAGCGATTTCTGGTTGTTCCCATATTTGCAACTGCTTCCTGCTTTACCTGGGCACTGGTTTTACCTGGAATTGCACATGAGGGTTGGAAACATCCCATTAATGCCAGCCTTGGTTAGCAGGATTTTACAGTTTCTCTGTATATTTATTGGAATTCTCGCTACTAATTTTAACTGTTTGTAAGAAGCTTTAAATTGTGAAAAGAATCCCCTTGTTCTGACACAAATAAGGGTAAATTTTCAGTTGCACTCTGGGCACTGGTGACTCTGAACATCCAACAAAACAGACAAACACATCAATACTAAGTTTTGGGAAAATATTTTCCATAGAACACAGCCTGCAGTATAAATTCCAGTAAATACATGACAGAACTTCCCAAAATGATGTCTTCTTTAATTATCTGTATTTCCCTGAAGAAACGGAGAGGCTTCCAGCTGGCTCCTTGACCTAAGGATTTCCAGTGTCCTTTCTGATCCTGGGTAGGAATATCCCATCCAGCTTTTCCACTAAAGGTGTTTAAAACCTTCTGCCAGCTTCAATCAGCTCTGATAAAACACTTCCATTAGTTTTACATTCAATTCTTCTGTATTTCATTGACACTTTCTTGTTCTTCCTACTCTTTCCTCAGCTTCCACGTGCCACACCTGGAATATTTCAGTGTGAGGAGCTGTTTGTGTGCTGCCACCACCTCTGTGAGCTTTCAGAGTCTCTCTTTAGGGTTTCTTGCTCTCCTTTAGCCTGAGGAAGGATGAGCATAATACTGTGATAATAAAAGCCAAATATCCTGTGGGAGTTTTGGGGTTTTTCTGGTTTAATCTCATGACTTCTGAAATAATCTTATGGTATGTGGAGGACTGACAAAAACCACTTGGGTCTGTGGGGTTTTATTCAGAGCAGAGCTTGAAGGGTTTTATTTTTCCATCATGCCCAGGGAATACAGCAGGAGCTGTGGAAAGCAGGGAACTGGGCATGGACATGTGGAAGTTCTCATTCCAGATGGCAAATAAATGAAGTTTTATGGAGTAGATACCGAGGTGTATCCAGGCCTTTTCTGAGGATCTGTTTTGCAGTCAGGTGGCGAGGCTGGAGCTGGTAATTCCAGTTTGGGGAGATCTCCAAGGTGCAGCTGTGCTTTGGATGTTCCTTTGGGAGTTATTCCTGCAGAGCTTTGGGGCTCTCCTTTGCTGTTGCAGAGGAAGTTTGGTGCACTCCTTGTGGGCCCTGGCAGCCTCTGGAGCTGTGAGAATGCTTTGCCAACCTTCCAGCTTCATCAGGAAACCTGCAGCTGGAACAATGGCACAGAGCAGGGATGGAATTCCTGCATCTGAGGGGTGCTCAAAGGAGCTTTGCTGCCTCTGGAAACTGCAGGTTCTCGTGTGGTGTTCCCCACACATCCCAGGAATTGTGCTCCTTCCCTCTGGACCTCTCCAGCACTGTCACCCTGTCATTCAGGGATGAATATCTGATACCTGGCAGCAGCAGAGAACCTCACCTGGCAGGTGGCTGCTGCGAAAGAACCTGAACTGTGCTTTTCTTCCTTCGATTTTTATCTTTAATCAACTCCCAGCAGCCGTTGTAAAGCCCAGAGAGTCTCCTGGAGAGATAAAGCTGGGATTCATTGGAAGGGGATGAGGTTGTGCTCCTTTGCTTGCACAAATCTGCCTTGTTTTCCTCTAGTTTGAGCACTGAGTTGAGATTTCGTCCTTGATTTGCCAAAGATTTACTGCATCCAGGGCTGAGGAGGTGACTTGGTTTCGTTGGAAAGGCAGAGGGAAAGACATTGTTCCCACTCAACATGGGATGGAATGGCATTTCTAGGAACTGTAGTGCTGGAAGTTCAGTCGTGGCATCACTAAGGAAGAGGAATTAAGTGACTCTGAGGTGACTCTTCAGAAAATGACAGAAGGATTTTGGAAAGGGCAGCAAGAACTCTCGATGATCAGGGTTGTCCATCCCAGAACATCCAAGGAAGTTAATCCAAGTGAAGATATAAATGGAAATGTGGTTTTAATTTGGTTTCACGTCATTCATCTGTTCTCTTTTTGTTCTGAATGAAGGTGTCCATGCAGGGATTTAATTTCAGCTAATAAAGGTACTTAGAGTTGCATCCTTAATTAATTTGGGGTGTGCAGTGTGCTCTCCTCTTCCCTGAACATCCTGAACGAGCTGGAGCCAAGGAGTTGGGCATCAGGGCAGTGATGCTTCAGTGCAGAACTTCCCAAAAGTGTCATTTGCTGTACAAGAACCACACGCCTTGGTTTGCTTGCTTGGTTGTTTTCTTTTTCCTTAAATCCAGAATTTTTTTCGTGTTTCGAATGCTTGTTTGCTCAAGTATGTTCCTGTGAATTTCTGGACACGGGGAACAAAAAGCTGGCCAGGCTGTCCATGAACAGTGTGCTGTGGAATGCAGTGTCGTGGCACTCGAGGAATTCAGTGATCTCTGTACCAAGAGCAGGATGTTGTTTATTGGTGCTTTCTAAAGGTTGTTCTGGGTCTGTAAAATTCCTTATCCAGCCCTCGGAGAGCGCTGTCAGCTCCGAGTGTTCCCGTTTTCCTCAGCCTCATAAATGTCCTGTAGTGATCCCGGGTGTGATGCAGATCTGAGAAATCCTATTGGATGAGCTCTTCAAAAACTCAGGCTCTGTCTTGGGCTGGGTTTATCCATCCAAATTTTGTTGGGTTTATCGGGGCTAAAAAGATTTTTATTTTGCTGGTTGATTTATCTGGTTTTTTTTTTTGTTGTTGATGTCGTGGCTGAGATTCTTCATTGCCAGTCTGGAAAAGTTTTAGGAGGGATGGTTAACTTCATGAATTTCAACCTGTTTAACTCTCTTGCTGCTAAAATTTAAATATCTGTTTCTCTAATCAATTGGAAATTGATCTGTTGGAAATAGAGTGACACAAGTAGTTTTGGATTTGTTCTCCCAAATTCTTGCTGGTTTTCCCATGGAAATGTGTCTCCCATTCACATGGCAACACTTTCACTTATAAATGATACTTTCAACTTATTTAAAAATTCCTCTGTCCCTTTTGGAAAGCTTCACAATGGGGTCCCACGAGCCCCATGGAGACAATTCCTGTCTTGGAATGCTTTGTGTGATTTAGGAAATTAAACATCCACAACCCCAATTCTGCTGGAATCGGGGAAATCCAAACTCAGCGTGGCTTGGGTTTGGTCTGTTATTCTTTTTTTTTCAGTTAAAACATCAGGTGAGACTTGGAATTAAAAACTCTTTGGGATCTCTAAAACGACAGACAGGCAAAAGGGCAGAAATGGAGCACTTTGAGAGTCACAAGAATACAATTTTTTTAAATGCAAGCAGCTGAGCCTGGAGGAAGAGGCCGATTGTTGAAACAGGCAACGTTAACAACAGGATTTTGCAACGGAGCTGCAGTTTGCTTTTCCAAAGGATTGCCAGCTTTCTCCTGGAAAAAATTCTCTTTGCGTCCTCTCAGGCCGAGAACTGGAATAAATTTTCCCCTCAAATGTCCATTTTTTAACTCAAAACTTACATAAACACCAAAGCTGAGCTGTTCTGTGCCCAAAATGTGGTGGAGGGGTTGAGAGAAGCCAAGTGTCAGCTCTGACCTTAGTTTATCCATTTTCTGGGTACAAATCATTGTTTCAGGAATTGTCTTGTTTTCTTACTTGAAATACACATTTCCCTGACCTTTCCTCTTGAAAAAAGAAAAAAAAATAAGGAAAATAAAAAAAAAAAAAAATCCAGGGGAAAATCAAGCCCGAGTGTGGCTTGGCAACTAACATTGGAGCTTAGAATTTCTCTGAGGTAATTTTTGTTTTTCCACTTGTTTTTGTAGGATGCTGTGACGTCAAAACCAGTCATCCAGTTTCAAGGAAGCCAAGGGGTAAGTTTGTCCCTGGAAAGTTCTCTGCATTTAATGGGATTGAGGAATTTGGGCTGTTCCAGCTCAAGGAATGATGCTGTGACTGCTGAAAGTGAGAGATGGAGGTTGAGGTGTGACCCAGGAAGGGTTTGCTCATGGATTCTCCCTCTCTCTAAAACCTTTTCCCTCCTCTTTATTTCCTAACCTTGCTAAATCCGTGGGAAATTCAGATTTGTGAGGCCGTGCTGGTGGGCAGAACAGGGAAAAGGAAAGGATGCAGAAATCCATGGAATCCTCACCTGTGTCCCAAGAAAACACCGTGCTGATCCCACTGCGAGACTTGTTGGGTCCCAATTCCTTCCAGCAGCAGAGTTTGGAGGCTGCTCTGAGAGTCCTGGAGGTTTATTTAATGTAACTGCAGTTCTGTGAGTACCAGAAGTTATTTTAGATTTAGGAGTTTTACTTCCCCAACTTGTGTTCCGATGGCAGAACTCTGGGATATTTTTAGCCCCTTGAAGCAGTCTGTCATGCCAGTTGCTGACAACGTTGAGATTTACGTGGTGGTGTTTCTGGTAAAGCAATGCAGCCCTTCAGTGAACTTGAAAAATGTCATTTAGATACCTTTTATTTCTAAAAAAGCCTGTGTTTAACTTTAGTCTCTGCAGAAAGAAGGGGAAATTTTTTTTAAAGTTTTTTTTTTTTTTTTTTCAAGAATCTGAGTTTAGCTGTAACTTCTGATTATTTTTTTTATGCACTGGCACATTAAAGCTTTGCAAAGGGCTTGGATTGAGTAGACATGAAACCCAGCACATTGTCCTTGCCCACATCCTACTTTGTGATATTATTCTCACTAACAGTACATAGAAAATGTAGCAGGAAAGACATGATTGTTATTGTAAGTTAAGAAGAAAAATACAAACCTTCTTGTCCTGGGAAATAAAGAAAGGAGCAATTTCCAGGTTTTTTTTACTTTGTTTAGACTTAAACTTCCCCGAAAGCTCAGCATGAAAGTTGAGATCAAAATCTGCCCCTGAGGTTGGGCACAATCAGCAGTGAGGAGGAAAACTGAAGGGTGGGTGATTTGTCTTTATTTGATGAGCTTTGCTCATGCAATAAAAAAGCTGAAAACACTGGAGAGGCTTTTGGAAGCAGGATCTACAGCTGACTTTTCCAGTAAAGCTGTTTCACTTTTGGAAATGCCTCCTCTGAATATTTTTTTTTCTTGAAGGAAATGTAGCAAAAGGGATCAAAATGTTTCTCTGCCCTGAGCCTTTGCTCGTGTTGGGTTCCACTTGGATCTGATATGGACAAGAATAAACAAAAAAATATTAATTTGTAGGGATAGTTAAGAATATTTTCAAATGCTGCGGTTGCTTCTAGAAATAAAAATAAATAAATAAATAAAAGAGTTAATTCTGTTTGAACCCTGAACTCGCAGAGATGAGTCCTTGGTGGAAGAGCTGCAGTGTCACTCCTGGGAGAGGGAGAGGAGCCAGGAGGGCAGGGCTGGGCTGGGCTGGGCTGGGCTGGGCTGGGAGGAGGATGTGGCAGCCAGAGCTGACCTCTGCCTGCTCCTCCTCTGTGCTTAATTAATGGCTCTGACGAGGAAAGGCCAAAGGTAGAGCTTTGAAGGGAGCTGCAACTCCATGGGAGCTCACAGAAAGAGCTCTTTGTCCCTTTTATTATTATTTTTCCTGGGTATGACAAGGAGCTGGCAGCTGGGGAACCATCTGCTTTTAAGGGTAGGACTCTGCATGTCAGGATTCTCCTGCTTTTTAAGGAGCTGAGGATTGAAATGCTTTCGAGGGATCCTCCATCAGTTGGGCTGAGGAGAAAATTCCAGGAATTCACCAGGCTCTCGTGCTCACATGATGACATTTAAACATATTCGTTGAGCTGTTTGACTTTTTGTATTATTTCTTCTGCTCTTATTCCTCCAGTTGCTGCCTTCCTATTTTGCTTCCCAAAAAAATGCAGCTGTGGAGAATCCCATGGATTTTTTAGGGTGGGAAGTTTTGTGAATAGCACAACTGTCAGTGTGATTGAAAGCAGTGAGGTTTTAACAGTGGGAATTTTCTGTGCAAGTGTCCCTTTCTCAAGAGGGAAAAACTTCATTTGATGATTTAGGGAGGCAGGACAAAAAAAGAGAATTTAAACAAGTTGAATTTAATTCTCTAGAAACCTTTAAATTGTGCCTACGTGTTTTCAGCTGTTCCAGTGTTACTCTAAAAGCTGTCAAGGATGCTTTCGGTTTCTAACACACAGAAAAAGAAAATGCAATGATTGAGACACTAATTAACCAGGGAAGGGAATTGTTGGGAATAAAACCCAGGGTCAGCAAGGTGGCAGCAGAAAGGAGGAAGTCAGCCCAAGATAAAACAGCTGTTCCAGTGACAAGGGACAAAAACTCTCCTGCCTGGATCCTGGTCGGGATCCAATCTCACAGGAGCTGATAAAAACTTCTGGGATTCTGCCTTGGGATGTGTTTCTGTAGTGATGCTGCTCTTGTTAATGGCTTTTATTCTGTGTAATAATCAGAATTTCAGTTGTAATAACCAGGTTGTTTTTACCAGAGTGGGATCGTGGAGATTCCTTAGGAGCAGCACCTGGCTGTCAGTTTTTCCTCGTGGGTTTTCTGGGATAGTTTTATAAGTTTTTATGGAGTTTTGAGTATTGTGCTTGTTTCATAAATTAGAATTTAAGAGATGGAGTGCCACAGCATTATAAATTGTGTGCAGAACTGTGCTAGAAATACTGAAAATGCTTCTATTTTGGTAAAAAGATGTACAGAATCAGAGCTTGGGCTGGCTGAAATTTGCAGGTGCTCGTGGGGTGGTGAGAGCAGGGACAGAATTGACCTGGGGGGGGTGGAAAAAAAAAACCCAAATTCACCAAAAATACCCAAAATCAGGTGCCAAACCCACACGTGCTGTGCAGCATTTTAAAAACCACTGCTGGGAGCAAAACATCTTTGCTTTGTGATTGGAAAATACCACGTTTCCCCTGTTCCTTGGGATGAAGTTTTGGTATTAAGAGAGGGAGGTGAAATGTGTGTTCAGAGCGAGCTGTCCACAGATGAATGTTACTTGAAAGAAGAAAACAGAAGTCACATCTGTACCGAGCTATTTTTAAGTGTCTCTGGTTACTGGTGCAATACCCAGCACCAAAATTAGGGCTCCCTCAAAGCAGTCACCATGCTGATTTGGTGGCTTGAGAAACCTTCTGTTTTCAGCTAAAAATAATTCCTAGATAACGGCCAGCTTGCACATGAGAGACTTTTCAGTACTAAAGTGACTCTGCCTCATTTTAGAGCCTGTGGAAACGCTGCAAAAACCCTCCAAAAATCCCAAATCGAGGCTTTTGGTGCAGCTGTTTTTTCCAGTGGTAAAGCAGGATGGAGGACAAAGTTCTTGGAGTGTGTGGAGATGTGATTTGGTGACATCCTGCAGGTTTTATTTTCCAGGCTCAGGTGCAGGACAGCCCCGTTGGATTTTCCTTTTCTTCCCATTCCCAACCAAATTTGCAGCTGCAAAATCCCCCCCTCCCGAGCGTGCTGCTTACATAACTCTGCTTTTGTGCCTGTTCTGCTAAAGCAGAAGGGAATTTTCTTCCCCCTGCCTGGGTGGGGGCAGAGGATGCCAGGAAAGATTAAAAAGGGCTCGAGGGCTGTGGCCACGTTTGGCAGGGGAGATAACGGAGCTGCTCAGGGAGGGTCCAGCAGCACCCCCCAAAAAAAAAATATAAAATCTGCTCCCAGTATTTCCAGAGCTGGATCTCGGTGGGGGATAGCTTGTCCTCCTGTACAAAGCAAGGCTCGAGTCTGGGTTTCTGGGCTCGTTTTTTTTTTTTTTTGGAAGAAGGGGAGCTGTGTTTGAGGGCACGGGCTCGGCTCAAGAGCTCCTCGCTGCCTCTGAGAACATCCCTGTGGTTTAGCAGAGGGACACAGATCCCTGGGTTTTCCAGGCTGCTGGAGACGTCTGAGGTCTGAAGGAAACCACCCAAAACCCCTCCTGTCCCAGCACAGTCATGTGTGGATGCCACGGGCTGGCTTGTTGGGAGTGTGTATTTTCTGCGTAGATGTGGCAATCTGGGTAAATATAAATCCGTGTGGTAAAAGCCTGGCCTAAAATAGGCTGGAACTGGTGTTCCTTCTGTCTCAGCTTCTGGAAGCCATCTTAATTATCAAATATTGATGTGATAGTAGAGCTCAGATGCTGACATTTATGTTGGATCCCGAATGCAGAGGGGAGACAGTTTCCCTTGTGAAAAATGAATGGCTGTGAGGTGGGGGGTGAAAAAACCAATGCAGGATGGCTCTGGAGTTGTCTGTGGAGCACACTTAATGCTTGATTAAATATTTAATTTAGCAGCAGCGTCACACTCTACTGTGAGCCATGAAATCTTGTTATGGAATTATAATTTCTTAAAAAAGAATAAGCATGCTACCTAGTGACCTGGCTTGTGCTATGTTTAGTGCTGGATCAGTAATTCTAAAGAAATGAGGCACGAATGTTTTACATTGAATATAAACAGTGGGAGCGAGTCTGTTTTGAGCCTGAATCAATAGAATTGGGTCAGATTCCTAGAGCAAGGTGGTTGTGGGCTCTTTTTGGGGCACTCTTCTCCCACAGCCATATCCATTTTCCCTCTGTTTCCTTCTCCTTCCCCTTGCACGCAGTGGGGATAACTTGAATTCTTCTTGCAGTCTCTCTGCAATAACCCAGGTGCTTTCCTTGTTGCAAAATGCCTCAGAGCATCCTGGCTGCAGGAGACTTGAGCTCTGAGGAGCTGTGAGTGACCAATGTTCCTCCTCCTCCTCCTCTCCCGAGCAGCACATCGCCATCCCCAGGCCCGACCGACCGGCAGAAGTGAGGACCTTCACCTTTTATCTCTCCAATATTGGCAAGGACAGCCCCCAGGGGAGCTTTGACTGCATCCAGCAGTATGTATCCAGGTGAGTGGGGCATCCAAGGAAAAACCAACCTTTAAAAAAAATTTTTTTTTTTTAATTTTTACCCTCTATTCTGGAGCATCTTTTCCTTAACAAAGCTTAATGCACGTTCTTCCTTTTTAGGGTCTTTGTGATCTGTTTTGACGTGTTTGTTGTTTTTTTTTTTTTTGGGGAAGCATCTCTCAGCTCCTCTGTGTGTCCCCCACTATTATTGAGCTAACCACCCCCCACCCCAGCTGTCCCCCAGTGCCAGCCTGGTGTCCCTTTGCAGTGTCAGGAGTACCTTTTTCCATTGCATTTCTCTTGCAGCAATGGCAATATCCATTTGGATTGCCTGGGAAGCATACAGGATAAAATCACCGTGTGTGCTACTGATGATTCCTACCAGAAGGCGAGGCAGAGCATGGCACAGGCAGAGGAGGAGACTCGCAGCCGGAGCGCCATAGTCATTAAACCTGGGGGGAGATATGTAGGTAAGCAGCCACTCAGTTTGGGGCTCTGGACTCCATTTGGCACCCAGCAGGCTCTGGAGGCAAATCCTGATGTTGTTGGCTCGATTGTGGCAGTCTGGAAAGTTCCTGGTAGTTCCTCGTGGGTGATTTTAGGCTCTGTTTGTGTTTTGTTGTCTTCGCTTCCATCGTCACCCCAAAGGGAACTGTGGCTGCCCCAGCCCTGGAGGTGCCCAAGATCAGGTTGGAGCAACCCAAAGGTGTCCTTGCCCATGGCAGGGGGTGGCACTGGGTGATTTTAAGGTGGCACCCAGCCCAAAGCACTGTGGGATGTCCCTGTGCAGTGACATGGCTCTGGTCACGTCTGTCACATGGCAGTGGCTGGGGCTCCCTGCTGAGCCCTCCCAGTGTCCCTGCTCCTGGCCAGCTCAGCTAAAACTGTCACCACCGTGTCACAGCTGTGACAGCCCACGGGACTGCAGCAGGGAGGACACAGGCAGCAGTGCCCTCTGTTAATAAACACAGACACTAAAGCAGCCTGGAACAGCCCTTCTCACTGTGACAGCAGCAGGACAACCTGAGCAGAGGAAATAAAACCATGGCAAATAACACAGGGAGCTGCAGAGACCCAGGGCTCAGGGCCCTGCTTAACCTCAGCTCACAAACTTCGGGCACAAACAGTAACCAGAATGCAAAGTTTCACTTTTTTTTTTTTTTTTT